CGGCCGACAACTGATCTTCCAGCGTCAGCCGCGAATCCAGGAGGACCCCCAGATTGCGCACCCTCTCCGAGGGGGCCAGAATTTCGCCCCCTATAGTCAGCGATGGAGTCAGCTGACTATGCCGCGGCGCCGGCAGCCACAGCCACTCGGTCTTGGAAGGGTTGAGCCTGAGTCTGTTCCTCCCCATCCAGACCCTTATATGTGGAACTGCCTCTTCCCAATTACATCTACCCATCCCATCAAATCTGGCAGGAGTGAAGTATGTTATGGGTCATGAGTCCTAAAGGTTCCATCTGATGGGACCCAGGAGACTTTTCTGCTGCTGTAGCTCCTGCCCTCTGGACTATCATCCCCCCACTCCCTGTGGAGAGATTAATCCCATTCCTATCGGTCTTCTGGAAAGCCCTTAAAACATGGTTTTTCCAGCATGCCTGGTAATCTTTGGAGATACGGAGATTGCAAGATGCCTTTTAAACATTCTTCCATGGTCTTATTACATGTTTGGTTTTTTTAATGGTTATTTTAACAAGTGTTTTTATTATTTTGTTTTTACTGTACATAACCCAAAGTCACATTCTTGAAATAGACAATTGTATGAATTTGATAGCTGGCTAGCTAGATAAATCTAAATAAGGAAAATAATAGCTGCTGTTATAATGATTTCTCTCTTTTTTTAAACAACAACAACAACCCAGGCATTTATTTTAAAAAAGGGAATAAATGAGTGGACTGCACCTTTTTCCTTGCTGTGCAAAGCTGCAACTCTGTGCATCTTACTCATTCTTGGAAATTCTACTAGTTTCACTGGATGGATCATCTGCTATGTAATTATCAGAAGCCTAATTAGAAAGGAGAGAAAAGATCACTTGGAGGACTTCAAATAGTTAATTATTAAAATAAATATTTCTATATGAATACATATCTGTGTGAATAGAATAGAACAGAACAGAACAGAATAGAACAGTTCTTAAGCTCTCAGTATACATTCGAACAACAAAGTAATAATCATAAGATACCAATAGCAAAAGGTAGAGGAAAGATGAGAAGGGTAATAGTAATACAGCCTTACTACATGAGTAAATATCCTTAGACATAAGACAGTGCTGTGGGAATTAGGTGTTCAGCAGAGTGATGACACAAGGGAAAAAAACTCTTTGTGTCTAGTTGTTTTGGTATGCAATGCCCTTTAGTGGAATAGAATACAAATAAGAAATAAAATAAAACAAAATAAACCAAATTAAAATAATAGAAAAAGAAGTAATAGTTCTGGAAATTAATTTAAAGCATAAATGCATACAACTTTCTCCAACATATAACTATTCAAATGAACAAAGCCCTAATGGAGTTTAAATGGCAGACAATACAGGTGGCATTCTTTTCTTGAGGTGAAGCTGCTGAGAATCTGAAATGCCTTTCTTTCCCAGTGTACCTCATTTCTTCCCCTCATCTCACTACACTTGTTTGGAACATCATTTCACAGATGACTGAGGTAATCCAGCAGTCTGCCAGCAGCTTTAATCAGATCATTGTTTCTCAACCAGTACTATACTCTTCTAATTGGGAAAGAGCCAACAAGAGAGAAAGCAAGACAAAGGGGGGCAGTTTATAGAAGTATCCACAGGGGATCCCCAAAAGTCAAAATGGCTGCCATGACTATGTGGTCCAAAGTCCTTTTTACACATACCTAGACATACATAAAAAGGGTGCCATGGTTCCGACAGATGAAACTCTTCAAAAGAATTTCGAGGCATTGTTTACCTTAAAGAATCTTTTATTCGAGAAACATAGTATTGGCACTACATAGTTGAAACCAAAAACTAAATTCTTCTCCCCTGGGTACAATGTAACAAAGCACAATTCCCTCCTTCAATAAACAGTCATAAATCACATTCCCCAATTAGCCTGAAGCTCGGGGTTTCTCCTCAGCTCTCCAGCCTGCTAAAACTCTATCAACTCAGGGCCCAATGACCTTGGGTTCCCACGCTGAGTTATTATTGTTATGACTAGTTGGACTCTCATCCACATTCCCCCTCCCAGCATCAACTAACTCTAAAAGCAATAGAGGAAAAATGGCTGTATTTCCATCTGTTGTCAAAGCAAGAACATCTGATGTTAGCAGTGTTGACAAAGGGATTTGACCACACAGTTGCCATCTTACCTTTTTTGGCATCTCTCTGTCAACTTTCCCTATAGGACTTACCAATATTTAAGATATAAAAGATTAAGAATTATTTTAGATTCTTAGAAAGCCTTTAATGTTCACAAATTATAATCAGAAGAGAACTAAAGGCTATCTAAAATAATCTAAAATAATTCTTAATCTTTTATATCTTAAACACTTAATCATTTAATGTTTTAACTGAAGTTCAGTATATAGCTATGCATATTGAACTTTTCATAGATATCTCTTTATATTTAATTTTTAATAAACTTGATTTAAAAAGGTTGATGTTATGCCTTTCTACATTAAACAATTTTGTATTTAAAAAGACAGTTTTTAAAAATCTTGGCGTTCACATAAAACCTGATTTCCCTTGTGTTATATTTGTATTAACCTTAATCTTGCATGGCTTTGCCATAAGAAGAAAGTGTTCTTTTTTGAATTATGCCAGAAAATGGCAGACAAATGGATAATTGTGTCAATTTACAATAGTGAAGTTCCATATATAGAAGCCTAAAAATATAGAAGCCTAAAAATTACAACAGGTATATCAGAAATTATAACAGGTATATCAAAAGAAGGGATTGCATTTTCAAAAGAAAACAAAGCTGATGTTTTTGACCCTGCATAATATAAATATATCTTGAACACAACCTCTGCCTTTGGAGTCTTCTGCAAGCATAGAGACCAACAGCTGAGCAATTGCATTAAAAAAGAAAACAAGAGGATTTGCTGTTTCAGCCACACAGAGCTTACATTGTCTAGACATTTAGAAAAAAAAATAATTTCCGTGCCTCTACATTTTTGAATAAAATGTGTAATACATGAGTTCATGTTTGTGTGGGAATTATTTGGAAATAAAGAGCAGCAAACAAAAGGCTACATCAATATTATCTCAAAAGGTATGACTGCACAAAACATTTTATTGTACAAAAAAAAATCTCAGCCACATATTCTTTCTTTTCTATTTTTTTTCCTTTTTCTTTACAAATTCCAGATATTTCTTTACAAATTCCAGATATTGAAATAGCTCTATATATGTAAAATCTCCCTACTTAAATCAAATATTAAATATGGAAAGTTGTAAAAGAACGTTTGAGATTCAGTTTGCAAATCCTACAAATCAAAACTCATACAGAACAAAAGAACAAAATAGAAAACTCTGATGGGATTCTTTCATTCATCACATAATAACTCCAAAGTTAATATTTTTAGGGGGGAAATCATAGTCTCTGGAGAAAAGTTTAGCTAATTTCTTGGTCCTTGGTTTGCTAAAATGGGTTTGATTCTAATTAGAAGCTGCCAGCAATTAAATGAGCCTCTGGTCTAAAATCTTTTCATCCAATAAAACGCGAAACTGTTGCTGCATAAATTAATTGGAAACAAGATATCATTCCAACTAAGCAGCCATCAGTAGGAAAT